GTTCTTGTCCGACCACTGAACATATTTTACCGAAACCACACCACGATCACAAATAGGAACGCAAAGGGGAAAAATGTCAAAACCCATAAAGAATGTATGTACAGATCAGGAGAACTCACGGTGTTGGTAGGCTCCAATATTTCGGAAGGCACACCCTTGACCTCAGTCGGGATCTCAAGCCCGAAGACCTCGGTTTTCTTATAGTTGGCTTTTAATAGGCTGCCCGAGTGAATTGCATCGATTATTTTCCTAGTGTATGCCAGCTTGATACGGCTCCCCGACCCATACCTGCAGAAAAAGAACAATAGATACAATTTCAATAATTCTTTTGAAGAGAAATAAACGGTTACTAAATAGATACTTAAAAGTCCCAAAACATACCTTCCACCAGACCAGCCTGTGTTGACTAGCCACCCAGTGGCACCGTGCTTTTGCATCTTAGCAGCTAACATTGCTGCATATTTGGTGGGATGCAACATTATAAAGGCTGCCCCAAAGCAAGCCGAAAACGTCGCTTGTGGCTCCTTGATTCCATCCTCCGTGCCAGCAACCTGTACGAATCATTTGAATTTAATAATAACAATAAAAAATCGACGCAATTTCACATTTTCCACTCAATTACCGTGATAGATCGAGCATTCTAAATCTTAAATAGACAAAATTCCTACCAGAGCAGTGTAGCCACTGATGAAGTGGTACATGGTCTGTGCAAGACTCAGCTTGCTCACGGGTGGGAGCACGCCAAAAGCATCACAAGCCAGTAGAATCACATTCTTCGGGTGTGAGGCCACACACGGGATCTTAGCATTGGGGATGTATTCAATCGGATAGGCCGCTCGAGTGTTCTCTGAGGGAAAAAGAAGGCACACAACAAAAAATTACTGCAAAATGTTAAAGTGTGTGAACTTAACGAATAAATGGACAAAATCAATTACCTGTGACGGATTTGTCTGAGTAATCCACTTCTCTTGTGTGCTCATCAAACACCACATTCTCCAACACTACCAGTAACAAAAAGTTAACATAAAATAAGTAGAATTATTAAAATCACACTTGCAGCATGGGAGAAAAAATTACCAGTCCCGAACTTGATCGCGTTCCAAATATCAGGCTCCTTCTCCCTTGACAAATCAATGCACTTGGCATAGCATCCGCCCTCAATGTTCGAAACACCATTGTCGCTCCAGCAGTGCTCGTCATCTCCAATAAGGAACCGATTGTGATCTGTAGACAACGTGGTCTTCCCAGTGCCTAACAAAATAACAAGTACAGCTCATTCATTATCCAAAGCAACAAATAATAATAAAAAAAA